AGGAGCAGGCTAGCTATCTCAGCCAACTAGGAATGAGAAGTGCCAGGATAGATGTTGTTTTGCTGAATGCCAACTCTCCCCTTTCCCCCTCTCCAACAAACTTCAAGGAAATAATCCTGCCTCTACCTTCTCCCCTTGAGCTCCTTTTCATGGGAGCCTAAAGTATTGTCCTCTGAGCACAGGAAAAGTCTGTTTGTCTTTCTTTGTTTTAGATGTTTACTTTGTCTTTATAAACAATATTAACTGCCATGATTTTCTGTTCTTAATGTGCTCATTGGGAATACAGATGGGAAGATGCAATTGAGGGAGACGCATGTGGGGGAGTGGTGAGAGAGGGAGAGAGACAGAGAGAGACAGAGACAGAGATCTAACTTTTTTTTTTTGCTTTTTTTTATGGTTTGGTGCTTAATGCTAAAAATTATAGAAAGAATGATAGATCCTTTGATATAATTTTCTAGAGCAGAGGAGTATTCTATCAGGAAACCCATCTAATAATGAGTGAGTAGTAGTAGGTGAGGGAGGGTTAAAAAGGAATGGTTGAATAACCCTGCTAACCACACCATAATACTACTACACCATTAAGTTCCAGTCTTGTACCTTTTAGTCAGATTTTATTATTCATTTCCAGTTTTATTGTAGGTAATTAATAATTACTGGATAAATGAAAAATATAATATATAAATATAAAATTTGTCTTTTATGATTTACCAAGGTTTTTTTGTGTCCAAATACATAATCATTTTTATTGGAGATACTTATGTACTTGGAAAAAAGTGTTTCACTAATATTTCAATTTAGTTCTCTTCAGAAAGCTATTAAATCCAGCTGGTTCATTAAATTTTTTTTTCTTTTTTCTTTTTTTTTGGTTTAGATTCTGTTTTTATCAATTTTTTTGTAATGCTGTTAGCTTCTTAAAAATGAATTTTACTCTTATGTTATATGGTAATTCAAGGCTCCAAGTGTATGAATAAACACAGAACAATAAATTCAGAGGGAGCTCAGAAGCTATCTAGTAAAGCCCATATCTTATTTACCACATACACACTGCTTTTACTTGTAGACTTCCAGTAAGAGAAAGATACTACTTCTCCCAAAGCTCAATCTACCATTGGATAACTCTAACTGTTAGGAAGTTTTTCCTTAAACCAAGTTGAAATTTGCCACTTTGTGAACTCTACTCATTTCTTTTAGTTTTGACCTTTATGGTTAAGCAAAACAAGTCATATCTTTTTTCCATTCAACAACCTTTCAAATACCCAATCTTCCCTATGTATTTTCTTCTCCAAGCTAAACATCTTAAATTTTTTCAACTGATTTCCATATAGCATTAGTCCATAGCTCTTTGCCATGCTGTTGGCTTAACAGCATCATTACTAAAATGTGGTTCCCTACACTGAACACAATACTCCCAATACCTGGTCTGACCAGGGCAAAATACAGTAGGACTATTACCTCCTTATTCCTGGACACCATGCTCCCCTTAATGCAATATAATATTACATTAGATTCTCCAGTTGCTATATTGCACTGCTGACTGATACTTAGCTTGTAGTCAACCATAAGACCTCATTCAAAGTGTTGCCTAGACACAACTCCCCCTTCGTGGACTTGTGAGGTTAATTTTAAAATATAAGGCTTTATATTTAGCACTATTAATTTGATTTTATTAGACTCAGCCCATTGTTTTGTCTGTCTAGATCTTTTTGAATTGTCACTATCATTTAGTGAATTAGCTATCCCTCCCAGTCTTGTGTTAATCTGCAAATGTGATAGGAATGACAAAAATACATTTACCCATGTCACTGATAAAAATGTTAAACAGTAGAGAACCAAGCAAAGATCCCTGGGGCACTTCATTAGAGACCTTGTTAAGTTAAAATTGAATCATTAATGAATCCTTTCTGAATCAACAGTTAAAGCCTCCAGTTGGAACATTTGTTTATGCTTCTTCTCTTGTAAATCCATCTGGCCCTTGGCTTTATTTAAAATTTGAAGTTTATCTATAGCTTGTTCAATTTCTTTTTCTGAGATTGGTTTATTTAAATTATCCATTTTTCATTCTGTTAATCTGAGTATTTTTCATTTTTGTAAATATTCATACATTTTATTTAAGTTGTCAGTCTTATTAGCATATAGTTGGAAAAAATAGTCTAATAATTTCTTTTATTTCTTCAAATGTGTTGATTTTTTTTAAAAGTATGTGAATATAATCAGCAAAATATAGGCCAATATGTTTGACTTTTATTTTCTGGAAAAATTCTTGAATGGATGATTAAAGAGATAGTGAAAATGTAGAAAGGGGAAATGGTTATGACAAAGAATAACAAAGCTTTATCCAGAACAAGCCATATCAGACTAATTCATTTTCTTTTTTGGCAGAATTTGAACTGCCAGATTAAAGGAATTCTGTAGATAGAGTTTACCTAGATTTTAACATTTCTTCTAGAAATGAAAAAGAGATGTAGCATAAACAAATGTTCCAACTGGAGGTTTTAACTAGACCATACATAAGGATCCCTGCAGGTCACATACTGACCCAGAAAACCACACAGGAACACTATCTATGGGGGAAGTAGGTGGCTCAGTAGATAGAGTGCTGGGCCTGGAGTCAGGAAGACTCACCTTTCTGAGTTCAAATCTGCCTCAGACACTTTGCTAGCTGTGTTACTCTAAGCAAGTCATTTGGCCCCTTCTGCCTCAGTTTCCTCTTCTGTAAAATTAACTGGAGAAGTAAATGGCAAACCACCCCAATGTCTTTGCCAAGAAAACCTCAAATGGGGCCATGGAGAGTTGGACATGACTTAAATGACTAAAAAACATTATCTATGTTTTATTGTATTTTTCTTTTGTTAAATATTTTCCAATTATATTCTAATCTGGTTCCTGCCCTCTTTGGGAATACCGTAGGCTGTGTGTTTGACATTTCTGCTTTTGTTAATTGTCCTTTCTCCCCATATAGTCAAGCAAAAGGGAGAAAAATCCACCACTCATTTTCTTGGGTTTTCCTCATTGGTCTGAGCTCATTCCAAGCATTAGAACTTCTGATTTTTTTATAGTGTCCAGTGACATAGTATACCCATATGCTACTGAGCTAAATCTGGAGAGATTCATCACTAGGATGGCCTCAGTGTAATAAATCTGTTAGCTATAGCATCTCTTGAAGACTGTCTATTAAGTTACAGAGGTGTTTTGATACGTGTGGAGGGAGCATCCATCCCAATGACATCAGAAATCACTGACTTAGTGAAGCAAACTATTTGATAGATCTAATCTTAATATTGTTAAATTCTTGTTACTTATAATTTTATCATGAGATAATGTTTTTGTCTATTTCTCTTAATGGTTTCCAGTATAAATGAAACTTTATTTGGTATCACCACCATTTTGAGCTAATTGATATAGGTTACATTTTAGCCAACCCTTTTTCATTAAATTTACAGATATTTTTGCATTAGATGTGTTGAATTCTATTTTTAAAAAAACCCATTTCATAACCATTTTATATAAAAGTACAATTCATTCAAATTTACCGTTATAAATGGTAAGATACAATGTCCTCCACATATATTTTGCTGTATGTAAATCAAATAATCCATCTTGTCTCAATAATTTCTTCCACTTATCCATTAAATAAGAATATATCTCCCCTAAAGCAACGAACATAGACATATAATTTCTTTCTTCTATTTTTGTAACTCTTTTACTCAACTAGAATTGACTGTTCTAAGCTGTGAGACTGGTTCTAAACTCATATTTCACCATGATGATCCAGTTTTATCAGCAAATTTGTAGAATGCATTGATTTTTGCTGTTGGAAGGGAATGTGATCTTACTTTACTATACTTATTTTTATAATTAAATCTAACTGAAGTAAACCAAACTAAATTTGTTTTTACCAAAAACCTTTTGTTAATGATAGTTTTGCTTGGAATCACCAACTTCTTTTCCCATCCTCTTTTTTTATTACTTTTTCATCTTTGTAGGTCTAAAACATGTTTTTGATTGTGCAGCAATGGATACATACACAAATATATACATGCATACATATGTATATGTATACTTGTACACATATACACATATGTATGTATGCATGTAGTGTATATTCATTTTTCTTCCCCCACCTTTTGTTCCTGAACCAACTGTAACATTCATTCTTTTATCCAAGGTGAATCCTTGTTCAATTATGGGTTAGAAGCAGCTAGGCGGTACAATAGAGACAGTGCTAGACCTGGAGTCAAGAGGACCTGAGTTCAAATCCAGTCTCATATACTTATTAGCTGGGTGACCCTGAGCAAGTCATTAAGTTAGATCTGCCTCAGTTTTCTCATTTGTAAAATGAAAATAATGATACTGCTCCAGGATTGTTGTGAAGATCAAACAAGATATCTGAAAAAGCACTCTGCAAACCTTAAAACATTATATAAATGTTAGCCATTCTTCTTTTTTTTAAATTTTTTTTATTTTTATGTATTTATTTTTGATTGTTTGTTTGTTTTTTAGGCAATTGGGGTTAAGTGCCTTGCCCAGGGTTACACAGCTAGTAAATGTTAAGTGTTTGTTCTGAGGCCGGATTTGAACTCAGGTCCTCCTGACTTCAGGGCCAGTGCTCTATCCATTGCGCCACCTAGCTGCCCCCACTGTGCCACCTAGCTGCCCCCATTCTTCTTATTATTAGACTAGAATACCTCTGAGCTCTCTTCTAACTCAGAAATTCTGTGATTCTGTAAACTAGGAAAAAAAATTATATTTGGATGTGATGTGACATATATTTTATGAGCAGTATTCCCTTTCATCATGATATGTTTAATAAGATTGTTGGTATGAAGACCAATTACTCCTAAGCATGGAATAAGGACATACTCCTTCAACCCTAAATGTCATTTTTTTAATCGAGAAGATATATTTAGATGAAGTACCAGGACATCTACTATATTCTAGATTATTTGATAAGAACATACTTCAGATAATGAAAAATAATATTTTACCACTGTTTTTCTTACCTATGCCACAAGCAGCCTTTTGTTTCCTATAGTATTTGGTTGGCAAAACTAATGGACATGCTGGTATTTTGAAATCACTTCTTTGGGTACTCTGGAAGTCATAAGATGGAACACAGTGGTGGTTTAGTATTTCTTCATGTGACCACCAAGCCTCCTTTATAGAAAAATGCAAGTAATTAGACACTATAAGACACAGTTACAGGTTTACCTCTGTCATTAGGTGGGTACTCAATAAATGTTTACTGATGATGATTAAAGTTATGCTCATGCTAATATTAAAACTTAAGAATATATTCCCCCCTTCCCCCAAATACTATTAAGATGAAAAACAACATATTGAAGTAGTATCTAGTGTTTGAATGAAACAAAAGATGACATATTACTCATGCTCTTATAATCTGGCATGAAGTCTATTAATAAGTGAACTTGTAATATGTGGTAAATTACACAATTTCACTTTGTTTTGTAGTAAGATTTTGTTATGGCAACATAAGAACCAAAACACAGAACCATTATGAAATCTAACAAATTCTATAACATTATAATAATAATCTTCTGTACCTTATACCTCTACTATGTTTGGTGCCATAAGTAATAGTTTTATTTTAAGGGTATATATTTCTAAGATTACCATTTTTGTTCTCAAAATGAATATAAACAGATGATACAGTGAGGACTGACACTTGACCTTTCTGATGATTTCACCTTTCAGAAGACAGAGTAAGCCATGAGAGGAATTGCAGCTTAGGACATAATTCCCACCAAATTTTGGTTGGTGATGTAGAAGTGTTTGTTGAATTGAGTTAAAATGAATTCCTAAATTGAAATAAGTTACTTTCTGAATGCAATATAGTTCAGACTCTTTTTTTGTTTTGTTTTGTTTTTGCTAGGCAATGGGGTTAAGTGACTTGCCCAGGGTCACACAGCTAGTAAGTGTCAAGTGTCTGAGGCTGGATTTGAACTCAGGTCCTCCTGACTCCAGGGCCAATGCTCTATCTACTCTGCCACCTAGCTAGACTCAGGAGTAGTCTTTTTTAATGCATACATGTGATCATGAATCTTCTCCACTCATAATTTTCAGTGGCTTCCTCTGCCTTGTAGTCAAAGTCTTCCACAACCTGTAAGAGCCTACCTTTCCAGCTTTACCTCATATTCCTGGCTTTAATGTTCTCTACATTCAAACTAAAGCATTCTGCTTTCTGGAAGGCAGTATGATATGCTGGAACTAGAGAGATTAACTTCTGTGGCCCTCAGTTTCTTTATCTGAGGGAAGGTAGGTGGTATAGTAGATAGAGTGCCAGGCCTAGAATCAGGAAGACTTATCTTCATGAATTCAAATCTGGCCTCAGATACTAGTTGTGTGACCCTGGGCAAGTCACTTAACCCCAGTTTGCATCAGTTTACTCATTTGTAAAATGAGCTGGAGATGGAAATGGCAAAAACCACTCCAGTATTTTTGCTAACCAAACTCCAAATGGGGTACCAGAGTCAGACAAGACCGAAACAACTGAACAACAACAAACAAGTGGATTGGACTAGATGATCTTTAAGGTGCTGAAGCTGTCTTCCCACTCAATCTATCTTTGCTACACAGATTCTAATTAAAAATTTGGGTGTACATGCCTTGTTTCCACTACTCGATATAAGGTCCTTTGAGGGCAGGGATTGTGGATCCTGTGAAACTTGAGTTTTTTCTTCTCTCTGTGGAGAAAAGCAACAGACAACTCTCTATAACTTGCCTACTCAGTATCAGTTGTATTATGGTTAGAGGGAAATCCCATCCTACTAATTAAATTGACAAAGCCCTCACACTTTCTAAAACCAATATTGTTTTAAATAGAGGTTGGAAAAACTTGACCTAATCTTTGAGAAGGCACGTGTTTAAGATGGTAGACGCACCTGTTACTGTTCGCAAATTTAAGACTCTCTTCTTCACTCCACCCACCAAATGCCACTTTTATTTTAGACATACCTCTTAGGTTTTTCTTCCTGGTATTCTACTGAGTCATACTTACTGTTAATCATTATTTTTCCCTGATCTCTTATTTAGTTCCAAGCATTGCTTACACTTCTTAAAAAAATTGACTCACTTTGCTTTTAGTGCTGATAGACAAGTTGATTGTTATGACACTCAATATTTTCATTAGCATTATTATAAATTTAATACAGCAAATAACACACAATCAAATGAACTATAGGCTATATCTCAGCATAAAACACTAAAATCTGAACAAATTATTTTTGATTAAATAAAAAATATTGATATAATTTAACAAAAATTAAAAAAACCAATGCATTTCTGATTCCATCTGTGTACTTTAAAAGGCCTCACAGGCTTTAAACATTTAGGGATTCAGCTAGTACAAAACTGTGAAGGTTTTTTGCATTTGGTTACTAAGTAACTATGTGGTCTAAGAGTGTGAACTATTTTAGGTACTTTCTTTGGCTTGCAGGCCCGGCAGCTTTTCAAAGGCTACTATGAAGTACGTTCATCTTTACATAAACTTCAAAGTCTAGGTGATTTGCAAATATCCATTTCTTGCTTTCCAATAGCAAATTTAATTTTATAATTAAAGATTATTTCATCTTCCAATTCTTCTTGATCTTCCTGGAGAAAACTACTGTGATCTTGTTTGATGCCTCTTATTATTCCATAGCTCTCTCTCTTCTCGATGTTTTCAGGATTCCTTCCTCGTTGGAATGTTGGAGTTTAACAAAAGATATATTGAAGAGAGATGAATTTTCAATTTTTCCCTTTTGGGGTGCTATAAATGTTTTCTACTTATGAATTATTGCTTCTTTTTGATAATTCTAGAAAACTTTTTTGAATTATTTTCTGTTATTAAAATTAGATTTTTTTTCCTTTTTCTAAAATTACTGGGATTGGAAGGCAGAACCAAGATGGTAGAATAGTAAGAAGAACAAGCAAGTCTTACCCCATATCTCCTCCACACATATTTAGAAAATATACCAGACTAAGCCCTGTTTGGGAAATTCTACAAAAAAAAAACCACACTGTGATTCTTCTAGCTCTGGTTGGCAAAGGGAGACAGACAAAAATGTTAGAATACTGTGAGACTGGGGTCTAACCAGGAATGGTGACAGAGAGCATAGGGAGAGGTCTCAGATACAGCAGAGGTGAAGCCTGACCTTCTGAAAGGTGCAGAAAAGGTGCCAATCAGCAGCTCTATTACTTACTATCCACTTCCAGGTCATAGATCGAGGGACGACTGAGGAAAACAACTGATCCTAAAAGTGTTGAGAAGAGGAGGAAATCCCTAGGCTACGTACTAAGATTGGAGCAAGTTCAGAAGCAAGCAGCAGCTATTGTCACTCTGCCCCAGGAGTAGACAGGGGTCTCAGCTCCAACCTCCAGTCCTTCATTGAGGAAGGAGTGGAGCCATTAGTGGGTGACACTTAAATATCACTTTCATCTGGACTAGTCAAGGAAGGGAAGAATATACGCACATTTTGGTACAGAAATGAATTTTGATCAATAGGGAAGCAGGAGGGAAAGGGGTGACGAGAAATGAGGGGAGTAAGAGGGAGGACAGATTAAAGGAAAGATTTAGTCCTAAGTAAAACAAACTCTAATGACATACAAAAATATTTTTAGTAGTTCTTTTTGGCAAAAAATTAGAAACTGAGGGGATGCCCATCAGTTGGTGAATGGTTGAAAAAGCTATGATATAGGAATATGATAGAATATTATTACACAATAAGAAATAATGAAGGGGGATGGTTTCAAAGAAACCTGGGAAGATTTGCTTGAACTGATGCAGAATGAAGCAGAACCCCAAGAACAATCTACATAATAACAATATTATAAAGAAAACCAACTCTGAAAGACTTAAGAACTCTGATCAATGCAATGACAGAATCATGATGAAATATGCTAGCTACCTCCTGAGAGAGGAATGAACTCAGGATGCAGACTTAGATATCTTTTGTTTGGACATTACCAATTTGGAATTTGACTATTCATGTTCTAAAAATAAGGGCTTTGATTTTTCTTTCTTTCTTAAGATGGGGAGGTGGAGGGTGCTATGAGGGAGAGGAAGCAAATTTTCATTCATTAAAAATCTAATTTAAAAAAACTTTAAAAAATAAAATTGTGGGGGACAGTAATTCTAAGGTTTTGACATTTTAGCCTATCTTTTTGATATTTATTTTTCTCAATAGATGAATTATTTTAGGCTAATTTTTCTACATTCATTTTCATTGTCTGCAATTTTGGTTTCTACTAATAATCAATGGTTGTCTGCTATTATTGATTTTTTCAGGTTTTCTGTTTCCTTCCCAATCTTCTTCCTAATTTCAACTTTAGTTTCCATTCCTCTTGTGATCTTTTAAATGTCCAAAAGCTTTTTACTTATTTGTCCTTGTAATTTTCTTACTGATATTAATTATTGCTTATATTCTTTAAAATATGTCATTTGTCCACTTGAGAACTTATAGGAATACTCGGTGCTGTTTCTTTTTTCCATCTGTGATATTTTAGGTACATCTGCTACTTTAATTATTCTATGCTATTTAAAAAAAGTTGTAACAGTGTTCTTTACTTTGATCATTTCCCTTTCAGGTAAATTATTATCATCTAAAACTCATTAAGTCCCAAACAGAACTCATTGTCTTCCCTCCCAAACCATCTTCTCCCTCCAACTTCCTTATTACTTTCAAAGGTACTGCAATCTTCCCAGTTACCCAGGTTTGAAACCTTAATTTCATCCTTACTTCTTAACTCTCATCCCACATACCTAGTCAGTAGCTAAAGCTTGTCATTTCTAGCTTCATAACATCTCTCACGTGTCTCCTCTTTACTCACATGGCCATCACCCTATCACCGGCCCTCACCACCTCTTACTGGTTTATCTTCCTGACTCAAGTCTCTCCCCATCACTATCCATCTTATACTTAGTTGCAAAAGTGATCTTCCTAAAGTGCAGGTCTGACCATGTCACTCCCCCATTCAATAAACTCCAGTAGCTCCATATGACCTCCAAGATCAAATACAAAAACTTCTGATTGGAATTCAAAGCCTTTCATAACCCTGTCCCTTCCTAACTTTTCAGTATTTTTATACCTCACTCCCTTCTACTCACTCTATGGTCCAACTATACCGGCTGTTCCTTCCTCTTCCCTGTATTTCTCATCTCCTTGTCTTTGTACTGACCATCTCTCAAGCCTAGAATGCTCTGTATGCTCATATCCACCTATTATAATCCTGGGCTTCCTTCAAGACTCAGTTGCTACTTTCTACAGGAGGATTTTCCTGATTCCTTCAAACTAAATGTAGAGACTTCCCCTCTAAGTTCCCTTCCGTATACTCTGTACTGTGTCTTGTATGTACCTATTTACCTACAGGTTTCCTTTCCCACTAGAATGTAAGCTCCCAGTGGGCAGAGACTGTATTTGCTTTTCTCTTTATCTTCAGACTTTAATAACTGATAGAGAAGTGGGGGGAAGGAATAGACATTTTTCTTCTATAAAATGTTCCATATTTTGGGGTGGGGGGGTTTGGTGAGGCGATGAGGGTTAAGTGACTTGCCCAGGGTCACACAGCTAGTAAGTGTTAAGTGTCTGAGGCTGGATTTGAACTCAGGTACTACTGACTCCAAGGCCAGAGCTCTCTATTCACTGCATCACCTAGCTGGACCTCCATTTTTTTTTTTTGTGATGGTAACGTAGGCAGCTAGGTGGCCCAGTGGATAGAGTGCCGGCTTTGGGAGTCAGGAAGACTCATCTTCCTGAATTCAAATCTGGCCTCTGGCATTTACTAGCTGTGTAACCGTGGGCAAGTCATTTTACCCCGTTTGCCTCAGCTTACTCATCTGTAAAATAAACTGGAGAAGGAAATGGTAAACCACTCCAGCATCTCTGTCAAGAAAACCCCTAATGGGATCACAAAGAGTTGGACAAGACTAGGCAACAACAATGGGAATGTAAGAGCCTGGTTCCCTTGCAACCTTTCACTTGCTCGCCTTTCCTGGAGTAGCCAGCATGTTGCCCTTCTAAAAGTAGGTTCCATTGCCTTTTTTATATATGTTTATTTTTCTCAAATTATCTTCAGTAGCAAGTTGGATTGGCCTGAAGATTCTAATAACTATAGTTTGCAACTCAGTCCTTTCTATTAATATGAACTCTAATAGTAAATCTATTCAACACATTACTTTGATGTCTGAAGTTATTCATTTAGTTTTCCTACATGGAGCTAATGAAATTTCAGAATAATGCCAACAAAAATATTTGAACTTGCACTGTGGAAGGTTCGACTTGGATTAAAACCAACTCCATTTCAATGGTATAGAACTTGACTTAACAATACTCATTTAAAACAAAACCAAAGAAAAAGAAAATTTTCTAATAGTTATCTCAAGAGAACCTGAAAGAAACTTACATAAAATAACTTGAAAGTTGTCTTTTTAAATGTCTGATAATTGATATCACTTAAGAGTTTTTATATGAAAAGAGCAGTTCCACATTCACATACCATTCTCTATTTGTTTTATGACACAATTGGTTGATTTTATCAGTGGAAGCAGAAAAGTTTGTCATTTAACCTCTAAGTCAAATAAATCACAAGTAATTCAAACTTGTATTTCTCTTTTCTCTTTGGGAATTTGAAAGAGAGAAAGGGAAAGGCACAGAATTCCTAGTTATGCCTTAAGTGGGCCATGAAAATATGTGCATGGCCCTATGTC